CCTCTCTCCCTATTTATTTCAGAACCCCCTTCCCCTCCCCCATTTCTCAAGAAAGGTCTAGGCCCGAAACGTCAGCCTTCCTGCTCCTCTGATGCTGCTTGGCCTGCTGTGTTCATCCAGCTCTACACTTTGTTATCTCAGATTCTCCAGCATCTGCAGTTCCTACTATCTCTGAAACAATGTTTATTACAATATAATTTGGCCTGATAAAGTAGCATTTTAAAATATGTAGCATTAAGTGAGAGGTTCCATAGTTGCAAGGAATTCATTACCAGTGATTTCCAGTTTACTTGGCTGTTCTTTAGTTGGCAGATTTGAAACTGTTCACTCTCCATTTCAGTCTTTCTCTTTTCCCCAGTCTTGTAAGTCTGTCTCCCCAATCCCTACATCCCTGTTGCAACCTCTGCCCTCCTCCCCACTCCCCTTGCAGCCTTTTTAATTTCCCCAGCCCTTCTTGCCGTCACTTTCTACCCCCACAGGCATGCCTTGTTCAGACCTGGCAGACGGAACTCTCGATTGACAACTTTACAACCACAGCTGCCCATCAAAAGGCTTCCCCACAGGCAGCTGTCTCACTTTCCTATCATTCACTGCCCCCCAGTCACTATTTCTCTCCCTCTAAGAGCAATTACGAGAAATACCCAGTCTGTGATTGGTGGAACAGCTCAGAAATTCTGCCAATTCTACTTATAAAAGTAACTTTTCCCTTATTTGTCACTCTTTTGATTGAATTTACCTGGGCATTTTGGGGATGAATTCACCCTCAAACTAGATTTGTTTTTAGTGTTTCTACATTGAAGAGACCTGGCTATTGAAAATAAAACGTTCTGAATGCCTTGAGGAAAAAATTAAAGTAATTGTATGCAATAAATTATTGTACCTGCGATTCCATAACTGTACTAATTAACTGAGATTTGCATTTTATTTAAGGAAATTTTATAAGAACAATTTTGCAGCCAGTAATTAGACTGTTGGAAAAAAGGTGTGGAAAAACTGACCAAGATGCTGGTGGCAATGCCTTGCTATCAACTCACACGTTTATTCCAGTCACTCAAGACAGGAGGAAGGATTCTAGTGTCAATGGTTCTGAAAACCCCCCCTCAAAAAGGATGAGGTCTGCATTGTTGGAAAAATCAGAGGAAAGCAATATGGACCCAGATTTGTCATTTCTAATTGTCAAGGATATATGTGGAAGGGACCAACTCTTTGTGGATTTAGGTAAATGCATTTTAATTTCAATCCATATATGCAGTAAATAATCAAGAAATAACTGATCCCTCTTGGACATGTCAAGGAATAATTCAATTAGTTAGCTGAACTCAGTTAGCCAGTGCTATGCAGGATGTGGCCAGTGTGCAGCACCAAGAGACAATGGGAGAATACATTCTAATTGTGCCATAAGCTACTATAAAAAACAAGTGGTTTTATGTTTCTTAACTTTAATTTTAATGTTTAGGTTTTTAAAAAAAACAATGGGGCAGATTTTATGAGGTGTCACAATCAGATTGATGGTAAGTTGGAGTCACTTTAATAGATACTTAAGAGTTACACTAGGTTAGTAACAGCCTAGTTTTCCTGAGTCAAACACAAAATGTTGGAGAAACCTAGTAGTTCTGACAACATCTGTGGAGAGAGAAAAACAGAGTTGACATTTGAGTCTAATATGACCCTTCTTCAGTTCTGCAGCTATTGGGAATCTGAGATACAAGTAGAAAATGCTGACAAAGTAGTTTTGAGAAAGTCAGATATATTACTAGTTTACTTTTCTCTGACTGTTAATCACAGTTGCACTTTATGTAATGCAAGGAACTATTTGCCCAAATTCAAATTCTACCTCATAGTTCCTTCCATTAGTTGCTTTGCATTGACTTTATCTTCTTTTAAAAAGGTGTGTACACAAAGAACAGAAACTTCCGATTATATAAATCATCCAAACTGGGAAAGAATACTTCTTTTGAAGTTGCTGAAGACAATCAGTTTGTTCCAGAGCCTGAAAAGAATGTTTCTAGGGAGGAGCAATTTTTTCTCAGCTCTTTGGTCAGCAATGTCAGGTAGAGCATCCATAATTTTCAGTAATCTTTTGAGAAGCAGGGGAAAAAAATCTCTCTTGCAATATGCAGAGCTATCATTCTGTCTTGTGTAAATTCAAAATTGGACCACATAAAATGATTTGAAATTTTAGTCTAATACTTCATTGTTGTCATTGTTTTACTGTTCAGTTAGATGTTAAGATCTTGATAAGAACTGAAGTTCTCCCAGGGTCCCCTCAAATCTTTTTCACTCAACCACTATTAACGGATCATTTAACATAATGCTGTGTGGGTGTCACATTTCTACATGGGCTGTTCAACTTTCTTAAACATCGCTTGAAACTAACTGTTGTATATGAGGTTCAGGGAGATGCGATGAAATCCTACATAAATGAAAATTTGCTATTTTCAGAAGAATAGCTTTAGAAATATGTGAAATTTCAATAAAAGTAATGTAAACTAATAAAAATCCATCTTTAGACTTCCTTTTCTACTTTCTTAACAAAGTAGATTGTTTTCTCAAATTTAAGAATATAGTTTTGTTCAGATCAATCAAGAAACTTTGGTTTTATCAATCTTTTCACTCAAACGATGGGCTGTTATGTTTGAACAAGCCATATTCCTGATTGTATAAATTTACTGTTTTCATTGCACCTTACTTTCTATAATGAATTGCAATAATAAATAGAAAACAATGTTCAAAGAGTACAACAAATAGCATTTAATAACCTAGATTTTCATGTGATCCAGACAAGCCAATAAAGTTGAATATTTTAAATTGACTTGTAGAAATTCGATGCATGTTGATGGTAATTGTCAGAAAGAATGTTATATGTTAATACAATTAGAAGTAAATATCATTTGCAAACTTCTACAATGAAATTACTATAAAAATTTCAGATTTTGTGACAGCATGACAGTTCTGACTTGTGATAGCTCAGATACGAAGGAAACCAAAGCTTGGCACGTTCAAGATAACCCACATCTTTCTGCATCAGGTATTTTGTTTACAAAAATTAGATGTATAAACTGGTTACTTTTAAAGCTGTTTTGGTTATAGTTGTAAAGACAGAGATAGAGTCATAGAGTCATACAGCATGGAATCAGACCCTTCAGTCCATGCCAACCATGTTTCCCAAACTAAACTAGTCCCACTTGTCTGCATTTGACCCATATCCCTCTAAACCTTTCCTACTCGTACAAATGCAAATGTTTTAAATGTTGTAACTGTACTTGTATCTACTACTTCCTCTGGCAGTTCACTCTACATAAAATCCACCCTCTGTGTGAAAAGTTACCCCTCAGGTACCTTTTAAATCATTCCCCTTTCACCTTGAAAATATGTCCCCTAGTTTTGAACTCCCCCACCCTAGGAAAAAGACCTTTGCTATTCACCTTATCGATGTCCCTTGTGATTTTATAAACTTCTATAAGGTGACCCCTCAACCTCCTACATTCTAGTGACAAAAGTCCCAGCCTATCCAGCCTCTACTTATACCTCAAACCCTCCAGTCCCAGCAACATCCTGCTAAATCTTTTCTGAACCCTCTCCAATTTAATAATATCCTTTCTATATCAGGAAAACCAGAACTATAAACAGCACTCCAAACGTGGCCTCACCAATGTCCTGTACAGCTGCAACATGATGTCCCAAATCCTACACTCGGTGGTCTGAGCACTGAAGGCTAGCGTGCTGAATGCTTTCTTAGCCACCATGTCTACCTGCGAGATAGCAAGAACTGCAGATGCTGGAGTCAGAGATAACACAGTGTGGAGCTGGAAGAACACAGCAGGCCAGGCAGCATCAGAGGAGCAGGAATGTTGACATTTCGGATCAGGACCCTTCTTCAACTTTCCTGCTCTCTGATGCTGCCTGGCCTGCTGTGTTCCTCCAGCTCCACATTGGTATCTCTGTCTACCTGTGATGCAACTTTCAAAGAATTATGTACATGAACCCCTAGGTCTCTCTGTTTGGCAACACTACCCAGGACGCTACCATTAACTGTATAAGTCCTAGCTTTGTTTGTTTTACCGATCCTTAGCCCATTGGTCCAATTGATCAAGATCCCTTTATAATCTTAGATAACCTTCTTCACTGTTGATGCCACACTTGGTCAAATGCGGCCTTGATGTCAAGGGTTATCATTCTAACCTCACTCTGGAATTCACTTCTCTTGTCCACGTTTGAATCAAGGCTGTAATGACATCAAGCTGAGTGGCCTTGGTGGAACCCAAACAGAGTATTAGTGAACGGCTTATTGCTCAGCAAATACGGTTTGATAGTACTGTTTGATAGTACATCTTATGGATGATGGAGAGTAAACTGATGGGCTGTATTTGGATGAGGTAGATTTGTCATACATTTTATATACAGGATATACCTGTACAATTCCACATTGTCAGGTAGATGCCAATGTTGTAGCTGTACTTGAATAGCTTTGCTGGGGACACAGCAAGTATTAGAACATGTGTGTTTGGTACTATTGCTAGAATATTGTATGTTTCTATAGCCTTCACAGCATCCGATCCCTCCAGCCATTTCTTAATATCAGGCGGAGGGTATTTCATGAATTAGCTGAAAACTGGCATCCAGGGAGGCAGTGACTTAATGATAATGTCATTGGTCTGGTAATCCAAAATCCCAGGCTAATACTCTGGGGACATTGGATTGAATCCCACAATGGTAGATGGTGAAATTTGAATTCAGTGTGGAATTAAAAGCTCACCTAATGACAAACATGTAACTGTCAAACTGTCGTAAAAATTCATTAATATAAACAAAGAACAGCAGATGCTAGAGATCTGAAACAAAAACAAATTGCTGGCAAAACTCCACAGGTCTGACAGCATCTGTGGGAAGAAAGCTAAATTAATATTGCAAGTCTGAGCAACTAAGAGCGATTTCTGTTTGTGTAAACACTCATTCCATGAAAGACTTTAATGAAACAACAAAATCTGTTGTCCTTGCCTGGTTTTGCCTACCTGTGACCTGGGACCCACAGCAATGTGGTGTTGATTCTTAATTGCCCTTTGAAATTGCCCTAGCAAGCTAATCAGATCATGGTAATTAGAGATTGGCAACAGGTGCTGGCCCAGCCAGTAAAGCCAAAATTGATCATCTACTTGGCGCTTCTGGCTGAAAATAAATTGCCTTCTCTTTTTGCAATGATGTTCTGGGCAGCCGGAGCATTCAGAATGGGGGTATTTGTGCAGCCTCCTTTTCTAATGAATTGTTTAACTGCCCACCACTATTCATAGCTGGATGTGGCAGAACTGCAGATCTTATCCATTAATTGTAGGATTGATTGGCCCTGTTTATCACTTGTTTCTTGTACTGTTTGGTATGCAGGCAATTCCATTTTGTAACTTTTGTCAGGTTGACACTTCTAGGTTCGCTTGGTGCTGGAGGTGGTACACTGTGCTGCAGTTTTCATTGAACTAGAGTTGATCACCTGGCCTTTTGATAATAATGGAGTGATGAATTTACTGGGCCATGATGTTACAGATTATGGTTGAATACAATTAATGAATACCTAGTCTTTAGGTCCGTTTGAAACCTATCCCAAGGTTGGATACTTTTTTCTTTCAGTGCGGGGGTGGGGGAGAAGAGTTCACTTAGCTTTGTTGGCTGGATGAAGTTGCCACGATGCATTCTCTTTCCCAACCTCACCCCTTGCCTGAAGCATGTTGACCCTCAGGTTAAATCACCACAAGTCTTCTCTCTGCCCTATGGTCCAGTATGGCAGTGGCAACTTTACTTTTCATGCCACATTGAGGGTATCCTCCATCTGAGGAAAGAACTTCTCCACATGACTGAATAGTGGTCAGCCATACTGATACTGTCATAGACAGCTGCATCTGTGGCAGACAGACTGGGGAGGATGAGGTCAAGTATATTTTTCCTTCCTGTTGGTTCTATCTTCACTTGCTGATCCTGGCTAGCAGTTACATATTTTAGGAACCAACCAGCTCAGTCAGTTCAGGTGATGGCGAGCCACTGTTCGTGATGGAAGTCTCTATCCAACGTATATTCTATGTCCTTGCTACCCTCCAGGTTTCCTCCAAATAATTTACAACATGGAGGAGTAATGATTCATCAGTCGTGTGGGGAGCAGGAGGTGGAAGATATTTCCTTGCCCATGTTTGACCTGTGGCCATGAGACTTATTAGAGTCTGGAAGCAATGTTGAGGACACTAAGGGTAGTCCCTTCCTGACTGTATACTGCTGTGCAACATCTTTGTTGGACCTGTCCTACATAGGAGTCAGGGCATACCCAGAGATGGTGGTGGTCTGGAAAATAATCATACTCACAGAATCATATCTTACAGATAACATCAGGCTGTTGCAGACTAGTCTGAGAGAGTGCTCTTCAATTTTAGCTGTAACCTCCAGATATTAAAGAAAACTTTGCAGGTCATCACGGCTGAGTTTGCCCTTGTTGTTTCCAGTGCCCTTAAGATCATTTAGTGGTTTTGATGCAACCAGATGGCTTTCTATTATCATTTCTTTGGACAGTTAACACTCAGTGACATTGCTATGGGTCTGGAGTCACATGTAGGCTAAACCAAGTAAAAATTGCAGACACTAATGAACCAGAAGCATTTTACAACAATGCTTTATATGACAATTAACAGTGGTTTCCAGTTATTATTAAATCTTAATTCCTGGTTTTTCTTTAATTCAAATCTGCCATAGAGGGATTTGAATCTGGGACGCAGAGGATATCCGTGTCCTGCAACAATAACACTGCACCATTGCCTTCCCTACTTTCCAATTCTGTTGGGCTGAACCTCTTTTCAGTTCTGATAACTTGAAAACTTCTGTACAAACTCTGTGTCAAGACTTCGCAATCTAAAGCACTTCTATTAGGGTGACTGTTCTCCTGAACTCTACTCCTGATAATTGACGGAATTGATAACATTACAGATATCCTGCTGGGCACCTGACTGAATCATATGTTAACTCTGAGATGGTGCGTTTGGTCAATGTTTCGAATGATTTAAAGAAAATCCTTCTCAGAACGGAAATCAAAATCCATCTGCCTCTATTGTAAAAAATCCAAATACCAAGAATGATAATTATACACATTTATCAAGGCTGAATTCTGTTTTACAGATATGTTTGGTTACCATTGTTCACCGTACCCAGAGATTGACAGTTTTATCACTCACCAAGTAAACAAAGGAGGAATACAAGGTGGTAAGTTTCAATACCTTCAACCATTAATCCCATTCATTAGTAAAGCAGAGATGTTTGAGGTGTACAAAATGATCAGAGGTATAGATAGTGGACAGCCAGAGACTTTTTCCTAGGGTGGAGGTAGCTATGACGAAGGGACATAGTTTTACAGTGAGTGGAGGTAGATATAGAGGAGACGTCAGAGGTAGGCTCTTTACTCAGAGAGTGGTAGGGGCGTGGAATGCATTGCCGAAGAGGGTAGTGGAGTCGGCCTCATTAGGGACATTTAAGTGGCTATTAGATAGGCATATGGATGATAGTATAAGGTAGCAGTGGAGATTAGATAGACCTAAGGGTAAAAGTTCGGCACAACATCATGAGCCGAAGGGCCTGTGCTGTGCTATACTGTTCTATGTTCTATGTTAGTTTCACATTACACTGATTTTAATAGCTTTAATATAATTTATTTCCTTAGCCTTGCGTCGATGGAATTACTTCTCTTCTGAAGAACTGATTGTATATGACATCAGCAAAAACCACTGGTGTGACAACATTGGAAGAGCTCATAAAAGCAACAATATTATGTAAGTACAGTTCACAACAATTGTTAAGTGATCTAAGCAGCCTTCTCTGCAATCATTGGTGCACCTTCAAAATGCAACAAGTCAGTCTCAATGCATTAAGTACTTGATCCATATAAACTTGGAAGGTTCCACATTAGACAGACAAAATACTACCACTGCTGGAAATCTGAAATGAAAACAAAAAATGCTGGAAACACTCAGCAGGACATGCAGCATCTGGATAGAAAGAGTCAGTGACCTCCAGAACTGATGAAGTGATGTTGACCTGAAACACTAACTCTCACGTGCTTAAATACTTAGAAATAGTACAGATAATTGTACTACTTTCTAAAATATTTTGAAAGGTGATACAGCTACTTAAAGTGAAAGCATACCGTCAGTACATTACTAAGATGAAAAGATTTGAAAAGACCGTATTCTCCAACAGCACAAAACGCTCTACAAACCACTTGTCATAAAATATACTCCTGGTGAGTCTGATTTCACCTCCTGTGTTGCAATTAACTTTCTCTCAACAAAAAGACCTCAGCATTCACTGCTAATACTTGTGTAAAATTTGTTGATTAAAAATTTTTTTTTTTTTTTAAAAATGGTTCTTATTTCTTGCAGAAAAATATAGTACATGGTTGAGTTCTGCAACTTATTAATGGCTGGCAGCAAAATTTTTTCGACTTAAGGGATACAGTGTAGGAAATCATATTCTGTTGTATTTTCTTATTTTGTAGGATTGTGGTTGACTTGAAGAAAGGAATCTGGTACCAGAAATGTTACGATCCTGTTTGCCGAGCTCAGAAATTCAGATCTGAAAGTAAGAACTAAATTTTATTATGTTGAATATTTTAAGTTTCACTAGATAATGCAGTAGTAGCCTTCTGTAGACTAACGTATGCTAAATTCCTTTTAAATTCAAGGTCACCCATTACCCCAGGAATGCTGTATGGATTTCCTCATTGATATGGTATGTAATGAAACAAATGCTTAGATCAGTATCAAAATAGTGTTATTGAAGCTGACAATAAATCAATTGAGCTTGTAATAATCACTGTTTCCAGTGGAATAAGCCTGTCAAGCTGCAATTTAGCAAATGAAGCATCTTATTACATTGTATTGAAGATCTAATCACTTCTATCCCTACTAAAATGCTAAGTATAATATTTAAATATATAAGGTGGACCAGTTTTCCTGTTACTATTTTTAGAATATGTTGAAGTGCACTTAAGTACAAGCGGACTCATTTTTCCAAACATTGAGGTGGACGAGTTAGATTAGTGAACATTCTCTACTTAAAACATGGATCAGTAAGATTCAAATAACAGTCTACAAAGTAGCCTTCTCTTAATACAATTTAAACAGTGCTCCCCTAGAGATAGGTAATGGTGTAGTCACTACACTAGTAATTTGGAAACTCAAGAAAAATTTGTTAAATCAGACAGTTTAAAAAAAATCTGAAATTGTAAGCTAATTTTATAATGGTTCCCATTCTCAATGATGGGGAAGCTCAACACATCTATGCAAAAGACAATAGTGAAGCAATTGTAGCTATCTTCAGCCCGAAGTGAATGATCAATCTCAACCTTTTCCTCAGGTTCCCAGCATTAAACACCGGTCTTCAGCCAGTTTGATGCACTCCATCTGATAAAGAAATAACCTAAAGCGTTAGATGCTGCAAAGGCTAAGAGCCCAAACAATAATTCAGCAATAGTGCTAAAGGCTTCTATCCTTATCCTTAGCCAACTTGTTCCAGTGTAGTTGCAAAAGTAAAAACTGAAAGAACTGCAGATGCTGTAAATCAGGAACAAAAACAAAGTTTCTGGAAAAGCTCAGCAGGTCTGGCAGCACCTGTGAAGAACAAATCAGTTAATGTTTGGGGTCTGGTGACCCTTCCTCAGAACGGATGGCCAACACCATGCTGCCAGACCTGCTGAGCTTTACCAGAAACTTTGTTTTTGTTCCAGTGTAGCTACAAAACTGATTACCTATTCAACAATATGAAATTTAATGATATTACTGTCACTGAATCAACTGGCATTTATTAGAAACTAAATCAGGTCAGCCATCCAAAAAAGGCTACAAGAGTGGGTCAGAAGCTGTGGAGCATGCAGCATAACAAGTATACAGAGGATGCCATATCCCTAGCCCTGCACTCATCCCTGGAACATCTGGACAACGCAGACACCTACATCAGCCTCCTGCTCATTGACTACAGTTCTGCCCTCTGAACTGCATCCTCAACTTTCTGAACCATCAGCTGCAATCAGTGAGGATAGTACCTCCTCCATAACAACACTCAACCCTGGAGACTCCCCCCAAGGATGCATCCTCAGCACCATATTGTACTCCCTGTACACCTATGACTGTGTCACCAAATTCTGAATAAACACCATTTACAAGTTCGCTGATGACACCACCGTAGTGGGATGGATATCTAACAATGAGTCAAAATACAGAAGGGAGATAGAGGGCTTGGTGACGTGGTGCAATGAAAACAATCTGTCTCTCAACGTCAGCAAAACTAAAGAACCGATCATCAGAAATAAAGGAGAACACGGCCCAATCTACATCAACAGAACTGAGGTTGAGAGAGTGAACTTGATGCACTTCATCGGAGTGACGATAACAGACGACCTGTTCTGGACTTCCCATGTAAATGCGACAGTCAAGAAGCACAAGAACACCTCTTCTTCCTCAGGCGGCTCAGGAAATTTGATATGTTCATATGGTCCCTCACCAACTTCTACAGATGCACCATTGAATGCATACTGTCTGGGTGCATAACCACCTGTAATGGCAACTGCTCTGCTCAGGACCGTAGGAAACTACAGAAGGTTGTGTGCACAGCCCAGACTGTCACAGAAGCTAACCATCCATTCGTGGACTCTATTCACACAGCTTGCTGCCACAGAAAGGCAGCCAACATCATCAAAGACTCATCCGCACCGTGGTAATCACTTCCTACAACCTCTTCTGTCAAGAAGATACGGAAGCCTGAACACATGCAAGAGCAAGTTCAGGAATAGCTTGTTTCCAGCCATTATGACTGTTGAATGGACTCTCGCCTCATATAATGTAACCTGTATACTTCAGAGTCATTTTGATCTGTACGTACCGCTTGTAAACAAAGCTATTCACTGTATTTCGGAACACAATAAATCAAACAATCAATCAGTCTGGTCTCTCCAATAGTCGTAGAGTCATACAGCATGGAAACAGACCCTTCAACTCGTCTATGCCAACGAAGTTTCCTAATTTGCCATTTGCCTACATTTTGCCCATATCCCTCTAAACCTATCCTCATGTACCTGTCCAAATGTCTCTTAAATGTTGTAACTCTCTATTTCTACAACTTACTGACAGTTCATTCCATATCTGAACCACCTGGTGTTAAAAAGATGCTCCTCAGATTCCTTTTAAATCTTTCACCTCTCACCTTAAAATTGCATCATCCACAAACTTACTAACACCACATAAAGCAAATCTGCATTCTTGATCAGCACACTTTGGTCGCCTTGAACATTCGTGCACTCTACCACAGACAGATAGTGGGAGTCAAACATGGTCAATGGGTATTTTTCAGTCTGCAGGAAGCAATGTAGTACAGTTCTCCAGGGTGGGTATTAGGACTCTTGCTTTTCCTGATATATATTAATTATCTGGATCTTGTTAAATAGGAGACAATTTCAAAAGTTGCAGATGACACTAAACTTGGAAGATTTGTGAACTGAACAGAGGACATTGACAAGTTGGTGATGTGGCTGGATAGGTGGCAGACGAGATTCAATGCAGACAAGTGTGAGGTGATGCACTTTGGTTGGAAGAACATTGAAAGGCAATATAAAATAACAGGTAGAATTCTAAAAGGAGAAGTAGGAGCAGAAGGGCCTAGGTGTATGTGTGGACACATCGTTGACGGTAGCACGACAGGTGGTGAGAGCAGTTAATAAAAGCATCATGTTAACAGTTCCAAAAGATTAAGCCACAAGTGGATGCAGCATCACAGATGCTGGTGTCCCACCCACTTGATTCACTCCATATGTGTATGTTGACCAGCACCCATTTGTGCTGTTCTCTGCTGTTTTATATCTTTTAAAGTAATGTTAAGCTCATACCAACATATTTTCACTGAAAATTTTATATAACATGGAACCAGCTGAAATGTGTTCTCAAGCAACGTTTGTTAATAGTTGCAGGGATATCAACTTATCCATATTTCCTTCAATATCTTCTGAAAATGAGCTATTACTAACCAACAGCAAATTTGTTTGAAACTGAAATGGAATCTTTCTTTCAGGATAACGAGTTTGTTTTTACCATGGATGAAGATGGGAACATTGACTTGCTTCAAAGTAGTGTACATCCAACAGGGACTTACTGGCATCTTGGTGAAATGTGGGAATCTGGGACACAATATTCTGCCCTTGTGGAAAATCTGGATACAGCATTTATCGATGATGTTGATGACAATGCAATGTTATTAGAAGCTGTTAAAGACTCTGAACTTAATATTGATCCTGATATACACTCAGAGTTGAGTAATGAGCCTGAAGTACTGTCTGACAATGACTTACTGGCAGCTGTGAATGAACTCGAGGCATCTGCAGGCATAGGTACAAAATAGATGCTGCAAACATTCTAGGCTACACAGTAAAAGTTTTTGATAAACCCCTTTCTATTTCATACAAATTGGTCAGAATCTGTCTTCAGGAATTCCCGAGTTTAGTTCTCAGGAAATATTACAGCTCCTTTGTCCTGCTGTTTACAGTGTTCAGGATTTTTATTTTCTTACATGGCCTAACAGAGGAAGAAATAATGCTCGACATTTTATGATCTGCACATTAGTGTAAAAATCAGTATCTATGTAAAACATCTTGTTAAAAAGATAAATACATTTAAATATATAGAACCTTTATTTTGATAGACAAGTGCATACATTTTTACTTTTGTCTACAGTGAAATTTGACTTCAAAGCAAATTTATAATACATGAAAAGTTTATCATATTTGTAATATAAAATAAACACCTTAAAGATAAACTACAATGTTTGTTTTGTTTATACAAACCACATTAGTGAAAATAACGAGTAAATTTTGTGGTTTCTACATCAGTAGCAGGTAGGAATACATACCTCTACCAAACTTGTAATCACATCTTCCACCGTAATTTAAAATGACTGGCAAATTAAAGAGGCTTCTTTGCTGGCATATACTCTCCACCTGCTTTTCCATTTGTCTACTGCAAACAGTCAATTCAGGAGCCTCAAGAACATGTGCCTGTAATTGGTCAATTAACACTGCTTTATGGAAGATGAGCAATTTACTGGACCCCCAGGCTGCATTCTTTTTGAACTGTTTTGCTTCTTCTCCAGTGATTGCTGTAATTTTGCATTTATTATCTGCAGCTGTTTTTCTGCTCCCAGAATTCCACGTGCCTCTAGCAACAAAGCAGGAAAGCTGGAAGTAGTATACTGTAAACGAGAAAATAAATTGAAACCAATAGCACCAAAATAATGTTATACAAATGACTGTTATTCTTATCTTATAAAGTTTTGCTTGTCCAAGTAGAGAAAATGTGGGAAATTTCCATCTCTTTACTGTGAGCAAGACATGTTAGAAGCATTGTGGATTACCACATTAGTTTCTTTCCATAACTGAAGCTATGACTGTAGGTGGGGTCAGATTGAATTTTTGCCCTGTCCTTGCCATTACGTCTCTCAAAACATTCCATTCTTATCAGACTGCCCATTCAGCAGGAATGAACAGAAATTTTGTAACACTGAGTAGCATCTCAGCGTGAAACAGAAACTTTAGCATCAAGTTTGAACCCAGTACTTGATGGCCAAGGAAGGTGTGTTTAAGAACAACACCTCATTTTCCACTCGGGTCCCTGCAGCCCTCCAGACTCAACATAGAGTTCAATAATTTTAGGGCCGAAACTCTCCCGTGTCCCAGCCCCCTACACACGAGGCCTTGTTACCACGTAGCCTGCCACTAGTCACTAATAGTCCCCATTGACAACTATTCACCCTCCCAGCCTGATCGTTATCAACTCTCTGTCTTTCTAACTGCTCTTCTCTCTCTTTAGGCTCTATCCTATTGTTTACTCCCTACCCCATCCCCCTCCCCTTTTCTCTGCATATAAACTGATGTTTTCCCAGCCACCACCAGTTCTGAGGAAGGGTCACCGGACCCGAAACGTTAACTCTGTTTTTTTCTTCACAGGTGCTGCCAGACCTGTTGAGCTTTTCCAGCAACTTTGTTTTTGTTCCTGATTTACAGCATCCTCAGTTCTTTTGGTTTTTAAGGTATGTTCATAAGACAGTAAAAGTGCCTATCTACCTGCAAATACTTGGAAACTCAGTCTTTGGATATATACAGTAGAGGTTGATTCTTTTTTAATCAATAGCATAAAGGGTTAGTGGGATAGTGTACTGAAATGGAATAAAAAAATTGGTTAGCAGACAGGAAATAAAGAGTTAAAATAAACAGGTTTTTTTCTGAACGGCAAGCAGTGACTATTAAAGTACCACAGGGACCCCAGCTAGTCACAATATGCTAATCTGTTAATGATTTCTATGAGGGAACTTGATGTAATATCTCAAATTTGCAGTTGACATAGATGGATACGGCAGATAAATCAATGGCTGAGGAGAAAGTGCAGTGGGCAAAGACTCCGGTTTTTGGATCATTGGGATCCCTTCTGGGGCAGAAAAGACCTGTTCAAAAGAGACAAGTTTCACATGAACTAAAGCGCACCAATATCCTGACAGGGAGATTTGCTAGTACTATGCAAGAGCCTTTAAAGTAGTAGGGTGGAGGGAGATCAAGGCAGTCAACTGTGGAACCACAGGAGATGGAGAGATACTAAACACATATACAAGTTAGCCAGGAGGGAGCTGAAGAAAGGGTTTAGGAGAGCTAGAAGGGAGCATGAGAAAACCTTGGCAGACAGGATCAAGGAAAATCCCAAGGCTTTTTACATGTACGTGAGGAATAAGAGAATGACCAGAGAAAGGGTAGGGCCGATCGAGGATTGTAAAGGGAATTTGTGCACAGAGCCTAAAGAGATAGGAGAGGTCCTCAATGAATACTTTTCTTCAGTATTCACAACTGAGAGGGACCTAGTTGTAGGGGAGGACAGTGTGAAACAGGCTGGTAGGCTAGAGCAGGTGGATGTTAGTTAGGAATTTTGAGGAACTTGAAGATAGATAAGTCCCCCGGGCCTGATGGGATTTATCCAAGGATTCTATGGGAAGCGAGGGAAGAGATCGCAGGGCCTTTGGCGATGATCTTTTCGTCCTCACTGTCCACGGGTATAGTGCTGGAAGATTGGAGAGTGGCAAACGTCATTCCCTTGTTCAAAAAAAAGGGAATAGGGATAACCCCAAAAATTATAGGCCAGTTCGTCTTACTTCAGTGGTGGGCAAATTATTGGAAAGGGCTCTGACAGATAGGATTTATGATCACTTGGATAGGCACAGTTTGATTTGTGATAGTCAGCATGGATTTGTGAGGGGTAGATGCCTCAAAGACCTTATTGAATTCTTTGAAGAGGTGACCAAACACGTGGATGAAGGTAACGCAGTGGATGTGGTATACATGGATTTAAGTAAGGCGTTTGATAAGGTTCCCCATGGTAGGCTCATGCAGAAGGTAAGGAGGTATGGGATAGGGGGAAAATGTGGCAGATTGGATTCAGAATTGGCTGACCCTTAGAAGATTTAGGC